GGTGTGCCTCTTCCTCCATCCGGCCTCTTCCATCGCAGGCCGGAGAGATTGGAGAGATGGAGGTTTCTGCGCAGGGTCTGGGCCCTTCCTGGCCCCGCCTTCCTCTGGGGAGAGGGAGCTCGGAGTCGGTTCCTGGGGTCCCATGGAGCCCCTCGGCCAGCTTGGGACCCCCAGCCCTGAGTGATGGGACTGGGACTACAGGCGGTCCTCCCTTTAGGACCACAGTTGAGGCCAACATTTATCTTTTTAAGTGAGAACTTTGTCACTTTTGCCCCATTGTACGACTTTTCCTGCCACTTTTGTTAAGTGAATCACTGAAGTTGTTAAATTGCTAACATGGTTGTCAAGCAAATCTGGCTTCCTCATTGACTTTGCTTGTCAAGGTTGCAAAAGGGGGTCACATGACCCCCCCATACTACGACCGTCATAAACATGAACCAGCTGTCAAGCATCTGAATGTAAATCACACCACCATAGGGATGCTGCAATGGTCATAAGTCACTTCTTTCAGTGCCGTTGTAACTTCAAACGGTCACTAAATGAACTCTTGTAACTTGAGGACTGCCTGTACTTCCACGTAAAGTAAAATCAATTTTACTTTTGCAATATTTTTTATGCTTTTTCATAACCACACTGTCTTCCAATATTAGAAAGCAGTTGAGTATTTCCAGGGCAGGAGATTCTTCAGTGGGGTGAGATGCTTCAGTTTGGATTCAGCAGTTCCCACATTTATTGCCTGAGTTTGCAAGATTTTAGCAGACTGAATATAACTTTAGGGTGAACCAAAAATACAACAGTGTCATTTTCTTTCCTTGAAAAGCCAGACCGTGTCCACGAGGGGGAAGTTTGGGGACTGAGTTGAAATGCTGGCTGGGAACAGTTATGACCGTTGAGCAGTTTTTCTACCCAATTGGGCTAGTTTTGGAGATTAGTTGCAGGACAATTTGACCTCGGTGATTTCCATTTGGTTCACCCTTCTAACCTCCGCAGCTGGCGTCTGACAAGCAAAGTCAGCAAACAAAGCCAGATTCACTTAACAACGGTGTGATTCACTTAGCAGCTGCACTAATTGGCTTAACAACTGCAGGAGATGACCTGAAAACAATAGCAAAAAAGGTAGTAAAATGGAATGAAACTCACTTAACAACGGTCAGCAACAGAATCTTTTGGCTCAATTCTGGTCATAGGTGTACAGTTTGGGGTCACTATATCAATCTGTCATGAACAATAACTGCAAAATACATCACGGGTAGCAAACAGAGTTGGGTCAGTCAGCCCCCTCCCCTCTAGCTGCATCAGCAGCCCCTCCCTCCCCAGATCCAGCATCTCCTCTCTTGCCCCTTCTCTCCCAAGGACCCCTTTGCAAAACTACAGCTGAAGGGGAAAACCCCTCCAACGCCTCTCCCCTTAATACTTGGATTTGACAACCTCTGTTCAGCTCTTGGAACCCTGATGCCGAAGCTGCCACACACTTTCGTCCTATGCCCCCTTTGGAAGGGGCTCCTGTTGCTGCCTGGGCCAGCGTGCCCTGAGACAGCCCCCCAACCCTGGGCTGTCTCCTCTCTCCCCCCTTCTCTCCCAAGGCCCCCTTTGCAAAACTGCAGCTGAGGGGGGGGAATCCCCTGCAACGCCTCTCCCCTTAATACTGTAATCGCCCACCTGCTGAGACTTTGGGAAAAGTTCCAAGAAGAGCAACTAAGAGGTTTAAAGTATGAAGAACATTTGCAGGATTTGGGTTTGGCCAGTCTAGAGAAAAGGAGGACTAGGGGTGATATGATAGCCGTATTCCAGTATTTCAGAGGCTGCCACAAAGAGGAGGGGGTCAGTTTATTTTCCCAAGATACAACAATAGTAGCCCTTATTCAAGATGACAGTGAGGTGCTTACCCCAAGGAGGTTGACAATTTGGTGAACTGGTGTAAGAAAAACAGCCTAATTTTAACCACTGGAAAAACCAAAGAGATCATTGTCGATTTCAGAAAAGGCAGGCACAGCCACACTTCTCTGTGCATTAATGATTCACCTGTGAAGATGGTTACCAGCATCAAACTCCTGAGTGTGCAGATAACGAGTAGACTAGCCTGGTCGCTCAGCAGTGAGACCCTGGTGAAGCGGGCACAGAAGCACCTGAATTTTCTGTGGTCACATGAGAAAAGCACATCTCCCTTCCCCTGTCCTGACCACTTTCTACAGGGGGACGATGGAGAGCAGCCTGTCGTACAGCATCACAGTCTGGTTTGGAAGCATCACTGCTTCAGACAGGAAGGCGGTGCAGGGACTGGTGAAGATGGCAAAATAGATTATTGGCAGTTCCCTCCCTTCTATCCAGGACACGGCACGTAAGCGTTGCTTGAGCAGGGTCCGTAAGATTGTCTGGGACGCCA